ACGGACCGGCTGCCTCCTGCACGCCCCCCACAGGGGATGGAGCCCCAAACCTAGGCCTGCGCCCTTGACCGGGAATCGAACCCTGACCTCCTGGTTCCCAGGCCGATGCCCATCCCCCGAGCCACGCCGGCCCGGGCTGGTTTTCTTTCGGAAGCAGCAGTGGGTTTGGGTTCAAGTCCCCAAAATTCTATCAATTGTCCCTCAAACAAACCACCCGCGGCTCCCACCGCGATGACGGCCTCGGTCACTAGGTGGCAGTGTTGCTGTGCTCGAGGCTGCGGTTTCCATGGAGGCCACGGAGAGGGGCCAGGGCCAGGGGGTGCCTGAGGGGGAGGGGGCGCCCAGGGCCTGAACCCCCCAGTCCCTGGCTGGGTCCAGGGGCCACACCGCCTCCCAGAACGCTGTCCTCTGGGCCCCTGCCTTCCCGGCTGGCCCTGCCCCACACGGAATAAGCTGGGAATGAAATTCGATTAAAAAAAGCTGCTGGTGAGAAGCCTGGGCCCCTGTGGTGAGGAGGGTTCTGTTTCTCCTCGCATTCCTGGAGGATTAAAAAAAAAAAGTCTATTCTTATTAATGTCAGAGAGGAAGGGAGCGGGGGAGAGAGAGAGAAACATCCATTATGAGAGAGGATCATGGACCGGCTGCCTCCTGCACGCCCCCCACCGGGGATGGAGCCCACAAACAGGGCCTGCGCCCTGACCGGGAATCGAACCCTGACCTCCTGGTTCCTAGGTCGACGCTCACCACTGAGCCACACCGGCCGGCTGTGCAAAAGAACCGATGTTGACCTCAGCAAGGGCGATGGCGGGAGGGCCGGACTGAGTTAGCGGGAAGTCCACAGGCAGCGCTGTCCGCCTACCAGGGGTCGGCAAACTGCGGCTCTGGAGCCACACGCGGCTCTTTGGCCCCTGGAGTGTTTAGCCAAGGCCAGCTCAGGAGTGCCCTCATTAGTTCATAACCATGTGCCTGCCTTCACAGTTTCTGTTTAAAAAACGTGGCTCTCCAAAGAAATGCCCATCGTTGTGCTGTTGGTATTCGGCTCTGTGGACGGATGAGTTTGCCGGCCATGACTGTCGCCGGTTCCCTCAGGGTGACCCCCGCTGGGTGGCCGGGGGGGACCCCGTTTGGCGCAGATGGACATGGGAGCTCAGGGGGCCGTGGGGAGGGGTCTGGGTCCACGGATCCAGCCCGGGGCGGGGGGAGGGGGTCCAGCGCCCTGGGGGCCTCCGCCGCCTCCCGCCGGCCGGGTTCGAGCCGCCAGGGCCGGCGGTGCATTTCCGTCTCCCCGCTGCCCTCCGCGAGGCGCCCGATGCAGCGTGAACGTGCCCGGGAATCGACAAGGTCACCCGCCTCCTGTGGCCGCGGCAGCTGACGAGCCGGCAGGGGTCGGCATGTCTGTCACCGCGATCCATACGGTCCATCCGCACGGCGCCCGCGCACCTGTGCCCGCCGAGCGCCCTGCCGCCGGCGCCAGCACACGCGTGTTCCTGCGTATCTCCACCGCCTCCTCGCTACGGGCAGGCTGTGCGTGAGGGAGCAGCCCAGCTGTTTGATCCCACTTCTTACTCTTCACATTTTTATTGATTTCAGAGAGGAAGGGAGAGAGAGAGCTAGAAACATCGATGAGAGAGAGTCATCGATCAGCCGCCTCCTGCACACCCCTACCGGGGATGTGCCCGCAACCAAGGCACATGCCCTTGACCGGGATCGAACCCGGGACCCTTCAGTCCCCAAGCCGACGTTCTATCCGCTGAGCCACACCGGTTTCGGCCCATTTCTTATTTTTTAAGTTTTTATTGATTTCAGAGGAAGGGAGCGCGAGATGGAGACATCCCTGAGGAGAGAGCCTCAGGGACCGGCTGCTCCGCAGAGAGGGGCTGCGCTCTGACGGGGCGCAAACACCACGCTTCCTGCCGGTCCCTCCGAAGGGGCGTGGGGGACACGCCCTCCGCTCACCCGCTTCCTCCTCTGCGTCTCACGCTTTCGGTCCGCGGCGCCGGGAGGAGCTGGAGGCACTCAGGCCGCCACTGGGAACCAAACCCGAGCCGTCCCTGTGGGGGGAGGAGTGTCAGTACTTCTCCTCGGTCGGGTGAGCGAGACGCGTGTGCCCCGGGGAGCAGAGACACCTCTGGAGCAGCCGGCGGGAGGGCGAGAGGCTTCCATCAGCCCCCACCGGCCGGACACGTGTCCTGGGGGAGGGGCCGGCCAACGTGGCGGCGTGAAGTCCACCGAGGACAGGGAGGCAAGACGGAACTCAGAATCGGGCAAATATGTTTTTATTGATGAGAGAGAGAGCCAGAGAGAGAGGGAGGAAGGGAGAGGGGAAGAGAGAGGAAGGGAGAGGGAGGAGAAATAGAAACATTAAAGATGAGAGGGAATCATGGACCGGCTGCCTCCTGCACGCCCCCTACTGGGGATCAAGCCCACAACCCAGGTACATGCCCTGACCAGGAATCGAACCCTGACCTCTTGGTTCCTAGGGCGACGCCCAACCACTGAGCCACACTGGCCGGGCTCTTGGTCATGTTTTCAGTCTGGCGCCCGGGCTGGGCTGTCTGTGGAGAACCTTCGGACCCCCCAGACCCCCAGAAACAGGATTCACGGGCTCAGCCGACCCCGGCTGTCTCCGTCAGACAGTGGCTCCCGGAGGCGGCTGGGAGGTGGGTTCGCCCTCCGGTTTCATTTCTCTCCGGACAGACCTCCAGAGCCGCCGCCGTCCGCCGCCCTCCTCCGTCCTCGCAGGGGCTCTCGCTGGTTCCCGGGGTTAACGCACTGCGGGGGGCTGTGAACCGGGTCCCCTCTGCCCCCTGCGCCCGCCGCCCGCCGCCCTCCTCCGTCCTCGCAGGGGCTCTTGCTGGTTCCCGGGGCTCTGTCCGCCGGCAGGGGGGCGCGGCGGGGGGCTGTGTCCCGGGTCCCCCCGCCGCCCCTTGCGCCTGCCGCCAGCCGCTCTCCTCCGTCCTCGCTGGGGCTCTCGCTGGTTCCCGGGGCTCTGTCCGCCGGCAGGGGGGGCGCGGCGGGAAGGCGTGGGGGGACGCCCTGCGGGGGGCTGTGTCCGGGGTCCCCCGCCCCCTGCGCCCGCCGGAGGCCCGGCTCTCAGAGCCGAAGCGGCGTCTGCGTCGTGTCCGTTGTGTGGCCGGGTCCAGCCGGGGACCTCATCGCGGCTCTGAGAACCGGCCCTTCGGAGGCCGTCGCTGAGCTCCGGAGAGGGACGTGGCTGGCGGGGTCCCTGGGCAGCCGGCCATTGTGGCCTGGGGGGCGGCGAGCATCCGCCCGCCCCTCGCGCACTGCGGCCGCCGCCCCGGACCTCCCGGCCCCCGGTTATCTGTGCGAGGAGGGGACAGTCTCTCCTCAGAGGCAAGGATGTTGTGAAGATTAAGAGAGCGAACACCTGTACACGCTCAAAACAGCCTGGTGTTTCACAGGGTTCTGTGAAGGACGGGGGTGGGGGTGGGGGTGATGGCGACTGTGGTGATGGAGATGATGACAGTGATGGTGGTGATGGTGGTGATGGTGATGAGGACGGTGGTGGAAATGATGGTGATGGTGATGGTGATGATGACGATGATGAGGATGGGATGGTGGTGATGGTGAAGGTGGTGATGGTGATGATTATAGTGATGGTGGGGGTGGTGATGGTGACTGTGATGATGGAGATGATGACAGTGATAATGATGACGCAGTGGTGGTGAGTGTAGTGATGATGATGGTGGTGATGGGGACGATGGGGAAGGTGGTGATGGAGAGGGTGGTGAAGGTGGTACCTTAGTGATGATGGTGATGGCGACGGTGATCCTATTCCTTCCCCCATCCCCCACACCTTAAAGGGGGTCGCCGGCTGTCTTGGCAGACAGGGCTGAAGGCCCTGAGCACCTGTTTTCTTGTTCCCTGGGGAACCGGGCCGGGATGGGATGGGGGAGAATCACTGTGACCGCAGAGCGAGGGACCTCGCTGGGTGTGGGAACCGGGCCATGGGCCCTGAGCTAACAACTCAGCCGCCAGAGCCACAGCCTCGGCCCGGGGAGCGGACGCATGGGCCCTGAGCTAACTGCTCAGCCGCCAGAGCCACGGCCACGGCCCGGGGAGCGGACGCACAGCGGCGCGATGGGGCGGCTGTTTCTCCTCGAAGTGCCTCTCCTCCTCCCGCGTGGGAGGGCCGGGCTGGCTCCGCCCACCTGGCTCCGGCGTCTGTGCCCCCCCCCCCCGCTGGAGGCTCGCCCTGAGCGCCATCGATCCGCTCTCCCGGGGCGGCTGTCCGCAGACAAGCGGAGCCTCGGAGGCCGCCGCAGCCGGGGAGGCTCCGGGAAACGTGTCTGAGGAAGTGATTAGCGGCCGCTGGCCGATCGGGCCAATCAGCCGGAACCGGAGCTGTTCTCAGAGGGAACTCCCTAAGGGGAACGGGGAATGGCTCCTGGGGGGACGGGGCGGGGGGGGGGGCGGAGAACAGGGATGCGGTCGGGGCACCCGGAGGCGCTGTCCGCATGGGGAAGGGTTCCAGGACGCGGTGAGAGCCGCCGGCTGGTGGGGTGGGGGGCGTGTGGGAGCGTAACGGAGGACGGAAGGGAGGGGCCTGAGCTTTTCAGACCACGGACACATTCTCTTTTATTTTTTAAATATATTTGTATTGGTTTCCGAGAGGAAGGGAGAGGGAGAGAGAGAGAAATATTCCTGATGAAAGAGAACCATGGACCGGCTGCCTCCTGCACGCCCCCCACTGGGGATCGAGCCCGCAACCCGGGCCTGTGCCCTGGACCGGAAATCGAACCGGGACCCTTCAGCCCGCAGGCCGGGGCTCTATCCACTGAGCCACACCGGCCGGGCAGCCACAGGAGCCCTGGATCCGGGGCAGAGGGGGCTCCTCCAGTTGCCCTGGATGCTGAGCCATGGGGTGGGGGGTGGGGGTGGGGGTGGGGAGGGGGGAGGGGGTCGGGGTGGGGAAGGGGGTGCCACGCTCCTCTCCCTCCCCCGGGGGCCGGCTCTCACGCTCCCGTCCTTGCCCGCAGGGTCGGCGGCGCGGGCGCCGGTGGACTTCTCCTCGCTGCCCGCCTACCTCCCGGCGCGGGTGCGGCTGGCGGGCGCGGACCAGGCCTTCCTGCTGCGGGGGCCCCGCCAGGACGTGGCCGCGGGCAACGCCAGCCTGGGGGCCCGCGTGGAGCCCTTCTTCCTGCACCGCGCGCGGGCCCCCGCCGTGCGCGCCAGCTACGGCCCCTTCGCCGCCGCGCGGCCCGTGCCCCCCGCGCTGCTGCCCGCCCCGGGCGCCGCCGGGCTGCCCCCCCACGGCCGCCTGCGGGCCCACGTGCTGGGCAGCGCCGTGTACGCCAACCGGCCCAAGGTGCAGGCGCTGTTCTACGTGGCGGGCGCGGACTGGGGCGGCGGGGACGGCGGGGACGGCGGCGGGGACGGCCTGCCCTGCGTGAAGATGTCCGCCTTCCCCGAGGCGCGCGAGGTGGCGGCCAGCTGCCGGCTGCGGGGCGCGCCGGGGCTGTGCGTGGCGGAGCTGGAGCTCCTGCCCGAGTGGTTCAGCTCGGGGCTGGACCTGGAGCCGGCCGAGGCGGAGCCCGCGCTGCTGGGCGGCACGGCCCTGGAGCTGTTCGCCTCGCTGTTCCCCGCCGACGCCGCCGGCCGCTGCCCGCTGCCCGAGGACGCCGGCCGCTGGGCCAGCAACCACATCCCCGCCGGGCCCGGGCCCGCCCGCCGGCGCGTGGGCAGCGTGGTGGTCTACCCGACCCAGGACGACCTGCGCTGGGCGCCGCCCCGGGGCCTGGGCCGCGGCCTGGCGCTCTCCGCGCCGCTGAACCTGGTGCGCCGCGGCGGCCACGCCACCTTCCTCCTCTCGCTGGCCGGCGGCGCCCCGGCCGCCAACTTCACGCTCAGGTGAGGTGGACGGGGGAGGGGTGGTGGTGGGAGTGGGGGAGGGGAGGTGGGGGGAGGGGGGTGGGAGTGGGGGAGGGGGGACGGGGGGAGGGGGGGTGGGAGTGGGGGAGGGGGGACAGGGAGGGGGGAGGGGGGACGGGAAGGGGTGGTGGTGGGAGTGGGGGAGGGGGGACGGGGAAGGGGTGGGAGTGAGGGAGGGAGGATGGGAGGTGGGAGTGAGGGAGGGGGGACGGGGGGAGGGGTGGTGGTGGGAGTGGGGGAGGGGGGACAGGGAGGGGGTGGGAGTGGGGGAGGGGGAGGGGGTGGTGGTGGGAGTGGGGGAGGGGGGACAGGGGGAGGGGTGGTGGTGGGAGTGGGGGAGGGGGACAGGGAGGGGGTGGTGGTGGGAGTGGGGGAGGGGGACAGGGAGGGGGGTGGGAGTGGGGGAGGGGGTGGTGGTGGGAGTGGGGGAGGGGGACAGGGAGGGGGTGGAAGTGGGGGAGGGGGTGGTGGTGGGAGTGGGGGAGGGGACAGGGAGGGGGTGGAAGTGAGGGAGGGGGACGGGGGTGGTGGTGGGAGTGGGGGAGGGGGGACGAGGGTGGTGGTGGGAGTGGGGGAGGGGGGACGGGGAGGGGGTGGGAGTGGGGGAGGGGGGACGGGGAAATGGGGAGTGGGAGTGAGGGAGGGGGGAGGGGGTGGGAGTGGGGTAGGGGGGAGGGAGTGGTGGTGGGAGTGGGGGAGGGGGGACAGGGAGGGGGTGGGAGTGGGGGAGGGGGGAGGGGTGGTGGTGGGAGTGGGGGAGGGGGACAGGGAGGGGGTGGAAGTGGGGGAGGGGGGACGGGAGTGGGGGAGGGGGTCAGCGTGGCCCTCGGTGGCTCAGTGGGTGGGGACGTCCGTGTGCTGGGTGTCCCGGGCGTGAGGACAGGTTCAGGGAAGAAACAGGCACAGACGGGGCAGGCAGGGCACTGTGTTTTGTGTTTGTTTGGGGGGCGGGGGGCACCTGCATTTTCATATATAAATATATAAATATATCTCTATCTCACGCTGAGCGGCCAGGTGAGGAGGATTTCTGAAGGCAGAGTCGCCGCTCGTGTCCGTCCTATGGAATAAAAGGCAAACGGTCCCCTCGGCCAGGAGTGCGGCCAGCAGGCCGGCCGGCCGCCCTCCCGCTGGCCAGGCTGGCGGGCCCCCCCATTCACTCCCCAGCCCCTAAAACAAACAAACAAACAAACAAACAAACAAACATCACAACCCGCAGCCGTCACTCTGGGGGAGCTGAGCCTTCCAGGGGAAGTGCCTGCCCCCCCCCGCCCCCCGAACCCAGGGCCAAACCTCGCTCAGCGGTGCGGTGGGGCCGGGGCGTGACCCGGCCACCAGCTGTCCGCGCTGCGCTCTTAGAGGAACGGCGTCCAGAATGTTCCGGCCGGAGCTTCTGGCTCCATCGTTCCCACAAACCGGAGCGGGAACGGGGCCCCGGAGGGCCGGCCCACAGCCAGGCCTGTGCCTGCCCGGGAATCGAACCCAGACCATCTGGTTCCGAGGCCCACGCCCGGCCCCAGCCCGGGAATGGAACCCTGCCTCCCGGTTCCGAGGCCCACGCCCGGCCCCAGCCCGGGAATGGAACCCTGCCTCCCGGTTCCGAGGCCCACGCCCGGCCCCAGCCCGGGAATGGAACCCTGCCTCCCGGTTCCGAGGCCCACGCCCGGCCCCTGCCCAGCCCGGCCCCGGCTGTACCAGCGTCCTCCCGGCCGGCCTGCGGAGCTCACGCCCCCCCCCCCCCCAGGATCCGGGCGGCGGCGGGCGTGCGTATCGCGGCCGTGAGGGTGAGCGGCGAGGAGCAGTGGGCCGTCCAGGAGGAGATCGACAACAGCGGCGCCCAGGCCACGGCCACGCTCAGCTGTGCCGGCCCCCACCCCGGCCCGCGGGGCAGGTGAGTCCCCGAGGCGCCCGCCTGGCAGCGGGGTGGGGGCCGGTGAGGATGATGGGGGTGAGGATGATGGGGGTGAGGGTGATGGGGGTGAGGATGATGGGGGTGAGGATGATGGGGGTGGGGGTGATGGGGGTGAGGGTGATGGGGGTGAGGGTGATGGGGGTGAGGATGATGGGGGTGGGGGTGATGGGGGTGAGGGTGATGGGGGTGAGGGTGATGGGGGTGAGGGTGATGGGGGTGGGGGTGATGGGGGTGAGGATGATGGGGTGGGGGTGGGGGTGAGGGTGATGGGGGTGAGGGTGATGGGGGTGAGGGTGATGGGGTGGGGGTGGGGGTGAGGGTGATGGGGGTGAGGGTGATGGGGGTGAGGGTGATGGGGGTGGGGGTGGGGGTGAGGGTGATGGGGGTGAGGATGATGGGGGTGAGGGTGATGGGGGTGGGGGTGAGGATGATGGGGGTGAGGGTGATGGGGGTGGGGGTGATGGGGGTGAGGGTGATGGGGGTGAGGGTGATGGGGGTGAGGGTGATGGGGGTGAGGGTGATGGGGGTGGGGGTGATAGGGGTGAGGATGATGGGGTGGGGGTGGGGGTGAGGGTGATGGGGGTGAGGGTGATGGGGGTGAGGGTGATGGGGGTGGGGGTGAGGATGATGGGGGTGAGGGTGATGGGGGTGAGGGTGATGGGGGTGAGGGTGATGGGGGTGGGGGTGATGGGGGTGGGGGTGAGGGTGATGGGGGTGGGGGTGGGGGTGAGGGTGATGGGGGTGAGGGTGATGGGGGTGAGGGTGATGGGGGTGGGGGTGAGGGTGATGGGGGTGAGGGTGATGGGGGTGGGGGTGAGGATGATGGGGGTGAGGGTGATGGGGGTGAGGGTGATGGGGGTGAGGGTGATGGGGGTGGGGGTGATGGGGGTGGGGGTGAGGGTGATGGGGGTGGGGGTGGGGGTGAGGGTGATGGGGGTGAGGGTGATGGGGGTGAGGGTGATGGGGGTGGGGGTGAGGGTGATGGGGGTGAGGGTGATGGGGGTGAGGGTGATGGGGGTGGGAGTGAGGATGATGGGGGTGGGGGTGATGGGGGTGAGGATGATGGGGGTGAGGGTGATGGGGGTGAGGGTGATGGGGGTGAGGGTGATGGGGGTGAGGGTGATGGGGGTGAGGGTGATGGGGGTGAGGGTGATGGGGGTGGGGGTGAGGATGATGGGGGTGAGGATGAAGGGGGTGAGGATGATGGGGGTGAGGGTGATGGGGGTGGGGGTGATGGGGGTGGGGGTGAGGATGATGGGGGTGGGGGTGAGGATGATGGGGGTGAGGATGATGGGGGTGAGGGTGATGGGGGTGAGGATGATGGGGGCGGGGGTGGGGGTGGGGGTGAGGATGATGGGGGTGGGGGTGGGGTGAGGATGATGGGGGTGAGGGTGATGGGGGTGAGGATGATGGGGGTGGGGGTGAGGATGATGGGGGTGAGGATGATGGGGTGGGGGTGGGAGTGAGGATGATGGGGGTGGGGGTGAGGGTGAGGATGATGGGGGTGAGGATGATGGGGGTGAGGGTGATGGGGGTGAGGATGATGGGGGTGGGGGTGGGGGTGAGGATGATGGGGGTGAGGGTGATGGGGGTGAGGATGATGGGGGTGGGGGTGAGGATGATGGGGGTGGGGGTGAGGATGATGGGAGTGGGGGTGGGGGTGGGGGTGAGGATGATGGGGGTGAGGGTGATGGGGGTGAGGATGATGGGGGTGAGGATGATGGGGGTGGGAGTGAGGATGATGGGGGTGGGGGTGAGGGTGAGGATGATGGGGGTGAGGGTGATGGGGGTGAGGATGATGGGGGTGGGGGTGGGGGTGAGGATGATGGGGGTGAGGATGATGGGGGTGAGGGTGATAGGGGTGAGGATGATGGGGGTGGGGGTGGGAGTGAGGATGATGGGGGTGGGGATGATGGGGGTGGGAGTGAGGATGATGGGGGTGGGGATGATGGAGGTGAGGGTGATGGGGGTGAGGCTGATGGGAGTGGGGGTGGGGGTGGGGGTGAGGATGATGGGGGTGAGGATGATGGGGGTGAGGATGATGGGGGTGGGGGTGGGGGTGATGGGGGTGAGGATGATGGAGGTGAGGATGATGGGAGTGGGGGTGGGGGTGGGGGTGAGGATGATGGGGGTGGGGATGATGGGGGTGGGAGTGAGGATGATGGGGGTGAGGATGATGGGGGTGAGGGTGATGGGGGTGAGGATGATGGGGGTGGGAGTGAGGATGATGGGGGTGGGGGTGAGGGTGAGGATGATGGGGGTGGGGATGATGGGGGTGAGGGTGATGGGGGTGAGGATGATGGGAGTGGGGGTGGGGGTGGGGGTGAGGATGATGGGGGTGTGGATGATGGGGGTGGGGTGGGGCCGGGCGTGGCTGCAGAAGCTGGTGGTGGCGAACGGAGGTGACAGCGAGCCGCGCCTGTGATGAGGGACGCCCCTCCAGGGCTGGCAGCTGAGGCTGCCCCGCGGGGAGTCGAACCCTGACCTGGTTCCTAGGTAGGCGCTCGGCCCCTGCGCCCGGGCCGGCGGAGGGGGGCGGGCTCCCGCGGGCGGCGGCCTCATCACACCCCCCCCCCGTTAATTCCCGCCGGACGGAGCCCCCCCATCGGGGCCGCGGGCGGATGATGGAGGCCGAGGGCTGTCGTTAAACGCGGCCAAGTGGCTGACGGATCGGCTGTCAGCGGCCTCTGGCTGGGACAGGAAGGAAACGCGATTTAATTATTTTCAAACCGAGAAGCAGGGTGACGAGTGGCGGCCGCTTGACGCGGAGCCGGGAGGCGGGAGGGGGAAGGGGCTCCGACCCGTCACCGTCACTGCCGAGCAGCCGCGGGCGGGGGGGGGGGCGCGTCCAGGCGGCTCCTGGGGGCCCACGGGCCGTTCCGTTTGACCTGGAGCCCCCCCCCCCCCGTCCCTGTGGCCCACGCTGCGCCCCTCGGAGATCTGACTAAACACACGTTCCTGCCCGGCCGGCCCGGTGGCGCAGGGGTTGAGTGTTGACCTTTGAACTAGAAGGTCAGGGTTCCATTCCGGGGTGCAGGCTCCATCCCAGGGGGGCGGGGGGCGGGGGGCGTGCAGGAGGCAGCCGGTCCGTGATTCTCTCTCTCCCTCTTCCTCTCCGGGAAAAATATCCCCAGGTGAGGACCTAAAAAACAATAAACAGCCGGGACCGGTGTGGCTCAGTGGGTAGAGCGTCGGACTGAAGGGCCCTGGGTTCGATTCCGGCCAAGGGCATGGACCTTGGCTGCAGGCACATCCCCCGTGGGGGGCGTGCAGGAGGCGGCTGGTCCATGTCTCTCTCTCATCGATGTTTCTAGCTCTCTGTCCCTCTCCCTTCCTCTCAGTGGAAAATCAGTAAAATACATTAAAAAAAAACAATAAACAAAGCAAACAAAAGCGGGCGATATGGCAAAGCTCCCCGGAGCGACCCTTCCCGAAGGTCCGGGCCTGTGGCCGCTGAGCCGGCGTCCGGCGGGGCCGAGGGGACGCGTTCTCCGGGTCCTCCCTCCTCGCCGCCCGCGGCCCCGGCCTCGCGGGGGCCGGGCTGGCAGCCTGTCGGACCCCCGCCGGGCGCGGGGCCAGCCCACAGAGGCGCCCTGTCGGCTGCCCGGGCTGGCGGCGGCCCCGTGGCCGGGCTGAATGGCGCTTTCACGCGGCTCCTGGAGCTCGGGCCGGGCTCCGGCCGCGGTGCCCGCCGGGCCGGGAGCGCCAGGGTCCGGTGCCAGCAGCCGCGGCCACGGCCATGGGCACCGTGCGGGCGGGGCCGGCTGCCCTCGGGCTGCGTCTGGGAGAGAGGAAGCGCCAGGTGGACCCCTGCCTCCCGCTCCGGGCTCAGCGCTCCCGGGGCCTGTTCCGGCCGAGGGGGCGGGGAGGGGGCGGGGCGGGGGCGGGAGGGGGATGGGGAGGTGGAGGGGGGAGGGAAGGGGCGGGGCACCTGCACAAGCATCCTTCATGGCGGGTGGGGCCACGTGAAATCACGTGTAATTTTTAAAAAATATATTTTATTGATTTTGTACGGAGAGGAAGGGAGAGGGAGAGAGAGTCAGAAACATCGATCAGCTGCCTCCTGCACACCCCCCACTGGGGATGTGCCCGCAACCTTGACCGCAATCGAACCTGGGACCCCTCAGTCCGCAGGTGGACGCTCTATCCACTGAGCCACACGGGTTTCGGCTCCCCATTGGTCTTTAGAGAGAGCGGGAGGGTTGGAGGGAGAGAGAGAAACTGGTTGCCTCCATCATGCATCCTGCCTGGGGCCAGGGACTCACACCCGCAACCCAGTACGTGGACTGGAACCCAAGGCCCTTCGGTGCGTGGGCCACGCTCTAACCACTGAGCACACCGGCCCCTCTCTCGCTCCTTCCACCTGCCACCCGCCTGTCTGGGAGCAGTGACCTCCCCTCCCCGCCCGCCAGGCGCCGCTGCTTTTATGCTCGGATGCGGGGGCGAGGCCATGACCTCCCTCCACTGTGTGCGGCTCCGGAGGCCTGGCCTCTGTGGGGTCGCACGGCCGGCGTCCCCGGCGCGGCCCCCCCGGTGGCCGGCGCTGCGTCCTTGGCGAGGGCCTTGCCCCGCGTCTCAGCAGGGGGACGCGGGGACGGGGACCAACGGGATAATGACGGGCATCGCTGACCCCGTGACCGGGCGCCAGCAGCCCCTGCGGCCCCCGGGGACCCAGCCGGCCGGCGTGCGGGCGCCACCCCGGGACCCCGGCCTCGTTAGCCGCCGCTCTCAGCGGGCGCCGAGCAGCCGAGCTGCCGCCGGGCAGGCAGGTCCCGGTCTAATGAGGCCCCTTTCCGGCCGGAGAGAGCCGACAGAGCAGGCTCTCGGGAAAGTGATTCCAGCTGGCTGCGTGTGATGCTTCTCTTTTTAAATTTCTTCAGAATGTTTTTATTGATCTCAGAAGGAGGGAGAGGGAGGGGGGGAGGGGGACATCAGTGATTAGGGGGAGTCACGGGCCGGCTGCCTCCTGCACGCCCCCCATGGGGGATCGAGCCTGCACCCTGGGCCTGTGCCCTGGACCGGAGTTGAACCCGGGACCCTCGGTGTACAGGACAAGGCTCTATCCACTGCAGTGGGTGGTTTCTTGCATTTGGATTTAATTATTCCCATTGTCTGGAAAGTGCCAGGGTGGGATTGGTTGAGGGTCATGTGTTACAATGTAACTCTCTGATGGGCTGGGTGAGGGCGTGTGTTACAATGTAACTCTCTGATGGGCTGGGTGAGGGCGTGTGTTACAATGTAACTCTGGGATCCGGTGAGTGAGGGCGTGTGTTACAATGTAACTCTGGGATCCGATGAGTGAGGGCGTGTGTTACAATGTAACTCAGATCCGGTGAGTGAGGGCGTGTTACAATGTAACTCGGACCGGCTGCCTGAGGGCGTGTGGCGGCCGTTCGCTCTCCGTGCTGACGGGGGCTCGTGGCCGGTCACCGCGCGCGTCCTCGGGGTGGGCGGCCTCGGACACGCGCCTGTCTCTTCTCCAGGGTGAACGGCTCCCTCTCGGAGATCCTGCAGGTGGACCTGGGGGTGGACAACAGCAGCGACCTGGCCGGGGCCCAGCCCGTCACGTGGCAGGTGGAGTTCCCGGCCGAGGACGCGGCCGGCGAGCTGGTGGTCTCGGAGATCTTCGTCAGCCAGACCAGCTTCGTGGGCATCGTGCCCCTGGCGATGGTGAGCGGGCGGGCTCCGGGCTCCCAGAGCTCCCTCTGAGCGCTTTAAATAGCGCGTGTTTTGTTTTTTTTTTAAATTGATGTCAGAGAGAAAGGGAAACAGCCGTGAGGAGAGAGTCATGGATGTGACCTCCCCCCGCACACCCCTCCCCCCGCGCCCCGCCTGTGACCTCTGGCCCCCGCACACCCCTCCCCCCGCCTGTGACCTCCCCCCCCCGCACACCCCTCCCCCCGCGCCCCGCCTGTGACCTCCCCCCCCGCACACCCCTCCCCCCGCCTGTGACCTCCCCCCGCACACCCCTCCCCCCGCCTGTGACCTCCCCCCCCCGCACACCCCTCCCCCCGCGCCCCGCCTTGACCTCCCCCCCCGCACACCCCTCCCCCCGCCTGTGACCTCCCCCCGCACACCCCTCCCCCCGCCTGTGACCTCCCCGCACACCCCTCCCCCCGCCTGTGACCCCGCAGGACACGGAGATGGTGAACACGGCCGTGCTGACCGGCCGGCCGGTGTCGGTGCCGGTGCGGGTGGTGGGCGTGCAGGAGGACGGCTCCGTGGTGGCCGTGGCCGAGGCCCTGGAGTGCCGGTCGTCGGACGAGGACGTCGTTAAGGTGCTGCCCCGCCGCCGGCTCCCCTGCCGGCCCTTCGGGGTTCGGCCCCTTGGGGCCCCCTTTTCTGTCCGGGTCCCCAGCGTCCACTGTCCTTCCCCTGATCTGTCTCAGGCCCCCCCCTCCCGCTGACAGTCTCGGGGTCCCCCTCCCGGTCACTGCCCCCCTCTTCCCGCTGAGTCTCGGGGTCCCCGGTCACTGCCCCCCTCTTCCCGCTGACAGTCTCGGGGTCCCCCTCCCGGTCACTGCCCCGGCTGACAGTCTCGGGGCCCCCAGGTCTCGGGGCGCTGCGATGCCGTGTTCGTGAACGGCCGGGAGATGCGGGGCCGGGCGGGCACGGCGGTGAGCTTCACGCACCGGCACTTCACGGCGCAGCTGGAGATGACGGTGTGGGCGCCGCGGCTGCCCCTGCAGATCGACGTCTCCGACACGGAGCTGAGCCAGGTCAAGGGCTGGCGGGTGCCCGCGGCCCCCAACAGCAGGTGAGGCGGGGCGGAGGCCCCTCGGCCCGGTGACCCCCTCTGTCCCAGTGACCCCCCTCGGCCCGGTGACCCCCCCGGCCCCGGTGACCCCCCTCGGCCCGGTGACCCCCTCGGCCCGGTGACCCCTTTGTCTGCCGAGCCAGGCCCGCGCGGGACAGCGAGGACGAGGAGGACGAGGAGCGGCGGGGCCGGGGCTGCGCCCTGCAGTACCAGCGCGCCCTGCTGCGCGTGCTCACCCAGTTCGTGGCCGAGGGGCCGGAGCCGGGCCGGCGCGCCCACCTGCTGGGCCCCGACTGGCAGCTGGACGTCACCGACCTGGTGCGCGACTTCCTGACGGTGGAGGAGCCGCGCGTGGCGCAGCTGCAGGGCCTCACGCTGGCCGGCCGCGAGCCGGGCATCACCTCCGTGCAGGTGGGCGCTCCCGCCGGGCCCCGGCCCGCCCCAGGCCCCGCCCCATCCCTGACCCAGGCCCCGCCCCAGGCCCCGAACCCATTCCTGACCCAGGCCCCGCCCCAGGCCCCGAACCCATTCCTGACCCAGGCCCCGCCCCTCCCACCCCAGACCCCACCCACTCTGCCAAGGCCCCGCCCCGGCCCCGCCCCCATCCCCGATCAGGCCCCGCCCCAGGCCTCCCCCTCCTGTAGGCTGTGTCCGGGGGATGCACCTGTGCACAGGGCCTGGCTGACTACCTCCTGCCCGCGCGCCCTCCCGCCCTGCCCCGGAGGTCCCGCACGCTGTTTCCTGATCACCAGTTTCCCACCGGAAACCCAATCAGCTTTGCCTCTGAGAGACTTTTAGGGAAATATAAACTGTCTTTCACTGGCGCTCAACTACGCCCACAGCGTGCGCAGCCGGGGGGGGGGGGGGGGCGCTCTGCTGTTTAGTTTTGTTAGTCCTCCCCCGAGGATGCGTTCTCACTGATTTTTAGAGAGTGGGAGGGAGGGGGAGTGACGAGGGGGAGGGAGAGAGAGAGAGAGGGAGGGAGAAAGATTGGTTGCCTCCTGCATGCACTGACCAGGGGGTTCCAACCCTTCACCAGCTGACGCTCTAACCACTGAGCTGCACGACCAGGGCTAGCTGCTGCCTTCCGGTTCACGCAGGCCCCCCTGGGGGACACCCTGCCCGCCAGGGGCTGGCGGAGGGGGAGGAAGGCGGTCCTCAGGCGGCGGGAGGTGGAGCACTGGGGGCGGGACGGGGGGCGTTGACGTGGAGTGGGGCCCCGCCGGCCCTCCCGCCGCCCGCAGGTGCTCTCGCCGCTGTCGGACGCCATCCTGGCGGAGAAGACGGTGACGGTGCTGGAGGAGCGGGTGGCCATCGCCGAGCTGGGCGTGCAGCTGGTGGCCGGGCTGGCGCTGTCCCTGCAGCCGCACCCGGCCGACCGCCGGGCCATCGTCTCCACGGTGACGGCCCAGGACGTGCTCCAGGCCCCGGGGCAGGTGAGACCCGTGTCCTCGGAGCCCCCTCCCTGCCCCCCGCCCCCGGCCTCTCTCCCGGCCCCTCCCCCGGCCCCTCCCCCCGGCCCCCGGCCCCCCGGGGGTCAGCACCGCGCTCGGACCCGGGCCTGGGCACTCGAGCTGCCTCCTGCTCCGCACCCAGCTGCTCCGTCTCCCAGCGCTCGGGGGAGCAGACGGTTTGTTAAAAAACATGTTTTTATTGATTTTTCAGAGAGGAAGGGGGAGGGAGGGAGAGGGAGGGAGAGGAAGAAACATCCACGGTGAGAGAGACTCATGGACCAGCTGCCTCCTGCACGGCCCCCACTGGGGATGGAGCCCGCCACCTCCTGGCCTCGAACCCTGACCTCCTGGCCCGGCCTCCTGATAAGGGAGGTTGGGGGTGGGTGGGAGGGGGGGGCTGCCCGGGAGGCTGATGGGCTGGCCTGCGTTTGGCTCAGATCCGTCGCCCGACCTTTCCGAGTGTTTCCGGAAAGGTCAGAGCCGAGCCCGCCGCGGGCGGGTGGATCGGCCTGGGCCTCGGGGTGAGGGGGAGCCCGGCGCTCGCTCCGCGGCCGGCGGCCGGCGTGCCCAGGCTGCGCAGAGCGAGAACACGGAGAGGTTCCCCCCCCTCCCCGCCAGCGTGGCCCAGTGGGTAGAGGGTCGGCTCTCCCACCTGAGGGCGGCGGGTTCCACCCCCGTCACAGGCATGGCCCTGGCGGCGGGTTCGACTCCCGTGTCCCTCTCGCCTCGATGTCTCTCTCCTTCCCCCTCCTGCCTCCCTGGCACTCTCTCTGAAAATGATTGGGGGGGGGAAATACCCTCATGTCCTAGCTGGTGTGGCTCAGTGGGTAGAGCGTCGGCCTGCGGACTGGGTTTGAAGGGTCCTGGGTTCGATTCCGGCCAAGGGCACATGCTCCGGTTGTGGGTTTGATCCCCAGGAGGGGGCGTGCTGGAGGCAGCTGACCCACGATTTCTCTCTCATCGTGGCTATTTCTCTCTCCCTTCCTCTCTGAGATGAATAAAAACATATTAAGAAAATGCCCTCGGGCGAGGATTCATAAAAAAAACGAGCCCCAAACCCCCTCAGGACGCCCCTGTCCTCTGTTTGTGTGTCTGAGGCCCTCGAGGCAGGGACCCCATCCCGGCCCCGCCCCGGAGGGCCCCGCGGCTGACCGCCCGGCGCCCGGTCTCCCCCAGGAGGCGATCGTGAGCGTGTGGATTCTGTTCAGCGACGGCGCGGTGACCCCCCTGGACGTCTACGACCCGCAGGACTTCTCCGTGGCCCTGTCGTCGCTGGACGAGATGGTGGTGTCCGCGCGGCCCGGCCCGCAGCCGTGGTGGCCGGCGGTGGCGGCGGAGGGCGAGGGCCAGGGCCCGCTGCTGAGGCTGGAGCTGCTGCTCAGCGAGCCGTGCCAGAAGACCAAGCGCCGGAGCGTGCTGGCCGCCGGCACCGGCACCGTCCGAGTCCGCTTCGACCCCCGCGGGGGCCCCAACGACATCGGGGGCGTGAGCCGGGAGTACCGGGACCCGCTGAGCAACTCCATCCCCGGCGGGGGCGGCGGGGAGAGGGCGGGCCCGGGGCGGCCGGGCCGCGGCCCCCCTGAGGGCGCCAACCGGAGCGCCACGCCGCCCCCGCCGTGGCCCCTGGGGCGCAAGGACACGCAGCGGCCACGGGACCCCGACTCCTTCACCAGCTTCCCCACGCAGGGCCGGTCCCAGGGCCCCCGCCCCGCCGGCGACCTCACCGTGGCCGCCCGCGGCCTCACGGACCTGGAGATCGGCATGTACGCGCTGCTGGGCGCCTTCTGCCTGGCCATCCTGGTCTTCCTGGCCAACTGCGTGGCCTTCGCCTGGCAGGCCCGGCACAAGCGGCTGGCGGGCGGCGAGCAGGGCGCCCTCCCGCACGCCCACGACTGGGTGTGGCTGGGCCACGAGGCGGAGCTGCTGGAGAGCCCCGTGGACGTGACGCTGCCGTCCGAGGAGGCCGCCTCGCCGGGCCGGGGGCCGCCCTACGAGGAGCGGAACTTCCTGCTCAACGGGGGCTCCCCCGAGGCGCTGCCCAGCCAGCTGCTGCGGCCGCCCGACTACTACGGCAGGGACCCCCGGCGCCCGCCGCCCACGCCCGCCGGCCCGCGGCGCAAGCGGGTCAAGTTCACGGCCTACACCACCATCCTGCCCGAGGAGGGCGGCGCCTACACGGACGCCGTGCTCTTCCACGGCGAGGAGGGCGGCGTGCAGTGGGTGTGCCCCGACCTGGGCCGCGGGGACCCCCGCGACTTCCAGGACTACATGGAGAGGCTGCGGGACCAGATGTGAGCGGCGGCGCCATTCACCGTTATGCCTTCTGTTTGCGCGGGGGCGGGCCGGGGCGGGCGCGGGCGCGGGGCACGGCGGGGCGTCTGCGGGGCCAGTCCGCCGGGGGTCCAGTTGGAACAGGTCAGAGCGCGGGGAGGAGAGCTGCTGAGGTGGGTTTTTAGGGTTTTGTTTGTTTTGTTTTAAATATATTTTATTGATTTTTCATAAAGAGGAAGGGAGAGAGAGAGAGAGAGCTAGAAACGTTGATGAGAGAGAAACATCGACCAGCTGCCTCCTGCACACCCCCCACCGGGGATATGCCCGCAACCAAGGTACATGCCCTTGACTGGAATCGAACCCAGGACCTTTCAGTTCACTGAGCCAAACTGGTTTTGGCGGTTTTTTGTTTTTTTAAATAAATTTTTATTGATGTCAGAGAGGAAGGGAGAGGGAGAGAAATATCCATGAGGAGAGAGCATCATGGACCGGCTGCCTCCTGCACGCCCCCCACGGGAGATGGAGCCCGCAGCCCGGGCCTGTGCCCTGACCGGAACCGCACGGGGAAGGGGGTGTACGTTGGGAAATGTCCCCGAAACAGCGCCTGTGGTTCTGGCGGACCCCCCTACCCCCACCCGTCTGCCCGCTGCGGGTCCGGCTTCGATCCAGGGTCAGACCCGCCGGAAGGACAGGCTGTGGTCCCGGGATGCCCGCGGGGGAAGGACTCGGCCTTGACCTTTCTCCCCCGACCCCCTGAGGCACAGCGACCTGGGACAGGCGTCCTTAGACACCAACTGAGCCGCCCTGGGCGGGGCCCACGCTTTCTCTCCGCCTCCGCCCGCGGCCGCCGGCCTTGGGGAGACAGGAGGACAAGACACGTCTTTCCCCTCGGCCATCTGTTCCATTTCCACGCGTCTCAGTCACGCCGTGCTCCCTGGGGGCCCCGGGAGGCCCCCCTCGTCTGGTTTACGGTCTCTCTGTCCCCCAAGCCCCCCCCCACCCCCAGCCGCCAGCCCGCGTCCTCTCCCTCGTCTTCCCTCCGTTTTGTGGGGAACCCTCTCGCTTTTGGGGACATGGGGTTCTCTGAAACTGTGACGGCGCCGTGCGGGGCGGCGTTCCCTCCCGTTTTCCACACGAAGCGGGAACGCTCTGCGGAGCGGTCCTGACCCCAAACAGCTCTCTGTCTCCCGGAGCTGGGGGGCTCCGGGGCAGAAGGACTCGGGGTGGCTGTGGGCTCCGCCCGGTGCGTCGGCCGCAGACCCCTATGCAAGAGGGACTCCCCTCAGACAGACGGCCCATCCCCCAGGCCCCCCGTTTGTAAAAGGTAGGAGATGTTTGAACTTAGCAATACGTAATCCATAGCAAACCCCCCCCCCCTACGATGACCCTCCCCCAAAGGTCTCCCCAGAAACGACTCTGGTGGAGAGGAAACCCCACAGGTGCGCCCTGACGGGCCCCCCCAAATTCATGCAACAAATGACGTCAGCGCCCACGGAGCAGCCACGCGGACACCCAGGCGGGCAGCGCGGGAGCCGGGTCATTTGACACAGAAGCGGCTCCCCCGGTGTGGAAGCCACGGCCACGGGCGCCTGCACGGAGGCGGGGTCGCCTTCCCCACCGTCTTGAGTCACGAGCCTCCGGAGAAACGGAAGGTCAAAGGCAGGAACAGCTCGCACCGGCCCCTGGGGGGGGGGCGCCCCTGCGGGAGACCCCGGGCCGGGCCGGACCCCACGTGGCCGAGGACTGAGGGTCCCAACGGGCGGCGCCTTGCCCACCGGCCTCCGGGGCGGCTGTCACCGATGACGTCACCGATGACATCACCCGCGCCCCGGGGCGTGTCCCGCGTTGAACCTGGGGGTGAGGGAGCGGAGCGGGAGGGGAGGATGCAGCCGGGACTCCCCACCCCAGGCCGGAGCGGACCAGCTGCTCCGGGTGCGGATGAGGAGCGGGGCCCCTGCTGCTCGGTGGGCGGGGCGAAGGTCAGGTGCTCATGGAAACTCCCAGAATCCTGCTGGGCTGTCAGGTGCTCCCCCTGACACGGGTGTGCAGGCCCCTCTGGCTTCACCTGAAGCCGGGATGGGAGTAAATACAGGCCACGTGCGCGCTGGAGGGGGGCCTTGGCCACGGGACCTGCGTGTTCCCTGCGCGCGGGGCCCGGTGAGCAGAAGCCGCGGTTCTGTCCGGTTCTGTCCGGTTCTCCGCGTGTCGCCCAGCGGTTCCGTTAAAACCCACAGGAGCCAGCCCCGCCCAGAGCCGGATGAGCGGGTCCTTAGCCCGAATCACTGCGCCCCGGGGCCGCCCGCCCGGCTTTCCAGGACTTCCGGCCCAGACACCCCGAGAGCGGAGCCGTGACCCCAAGGCAGCCACCGGCCCCCCCCCCCCGCCTAATGGCCCCCCTCTTTCTCCTCCCCCGCAGAGGCCAGCGGGGCAGAGGGGCCCCGGCTGTGACTGAGTCCTGTTTGGGGGGGGGGGCCGGGTGCGGCCTTGGAGAGAAGCAGCAGCTGCCACCCTGGGCGGACCGGGGTCCCCCCACTGAACCCCAGAGAGCGCTGCGCCCAGGAGGGCACCCTGCCCGCCACTGTCCCCTCACCACCGGCGGGCTGGGCCCCTTCCCCTCCGGGCGGATTTCTGTCCACAGACCCCCGCGGGGAGCGGGGTTCACGCCTGCCCCCCCCACACCTGCCCCCCACACCTGCCCCCCACGTCCGCCCCCCACACCTGCCCTCCACACCTGCCCTCCACACCTGCCCCCCCCGCCCGCCCCCCACACCTGTCCCCCACACCTGCCCCCGGCGGTAAGGCCCACACAGCTCGCTGCCGTGGGGTTCGCCCCGCTGTCAGGTCCCCTGTGTGATGGCGGCGCCTGCGATGTCGGGGTGCTGCCCAGCCCAGGCTCTGTCCGTCCGTCCGTCCGTCTGTCCGTCAGCGGGGACACTGTCTGCCCTCGGTGGGTCCTGCGTGTCCCCCTACCCCCCGGGTTTTCTGCTCCGATCATTCCAAAACCGTCTCTCTGCTCCGTCCTGGTCTCTGCCCCCCGCACCCCGAGGCTCCCACCAGCCGCCATCTCCCCGGGTCCCCCCCCCACCCCGCCCGCTGTGGGGGGCCGTGGGCGGGGCTGTGTGAACACACGGACGGCAGAGATGTTTGTATGTCACATGAGCAGCGCCGCCAGGCGTGTCAGGATACACACATGTCAGAGCATGCAGAGCTGGGGGCCTCCGGGTGCGGACACGCGCGCACACGCACACACACGCTCACACGCGAGGGGCGTGGCGCCCGGAGGCGCCGGGGGCGTGGCTCGCGGGCCGGTCGGCGAGACCTGCCACGGCATCCTCATCTCACGCGCCATGACTTTTGGGCTTTTATTTTTTTCTTTTTCTTTTTTCCCTGGAACTATTTCATAAATAAAGTGACTCCCTTTCCCAGCATCCAGCTATATTCTAACCACAGGGTAACGCTTCCTTTTTTAACGGAAAATAAACATTAAAACCTTCTTTCCTGGTGCCTCGTTCTGCCTGCGTGCTGCTTTCTCCACCTCAGCGTCTGTGGGATGGGCTCATGGGTCTATTAAAAAAATTATATATATATATATATATATATATATATATATATATATATATATATATATATATATAATTTTTTACAGAGAGGAAGAGAGAGTCAGAAACATCGATGAGAGAGAAACATCCATCAGCTGCCTCCTGCATCCCCCCCCCCCCCACTGGGGATGTGCCTGCAACCAAGGTACACGCCCTTGTCTGGAATCAAACCCAGGACCTTTCAGTCTGCAGGCCGACACACTATCCACTGAGCCACACTGATTAGGGCTATTTTTATTTTCTTTTTAGCCGAGGTTTCCAGTCCTTTCGTGCCGCAGCACATGGGAACCAAAGAAAGACGTTGCTCCAAAGTTGAAAAATACAACACCTTTACCTTTTAAAAATGTGTATTTTTACTGATTTCCCAGAGGGAGGGAGAGGGAGGGCAGCTGCCTCCTGCACACCCCCCACGGGGGATTCAGCCCGACCGGAATCAAACCCTGACCTCCTGGTTCCTAGGTCGATGCTCAACCTCGGAGCCAGGCCGGCCCAGCCATGACTGAATTCTTTATTTTTCCATTATTTGCTTATTTTTCTCTCCCCCTGATTAGGCCCTCGCACCCGGAGGACAGCAGGTGTGGCTGTTTCAGCAATCCTGTTAAAAATCAGGTTAGAGCCGAAACCGGTGTGGCTCAATGGATAGAGCGTCAGCTTGGGGACTGAAGGGTCCCGGGTTCGATTCCGGTCAAGGGCATGTACCTTGGTTGCGGGCACATCCCCGGTAGGGGGTGTGCAAGAGGCAGCTGATAGATGACTCATCGATGTTTCTAACTATCTCTCTCCCTTCCTCTTTGTACAAAATCAATAAAATATATTTAAAAAAAAAAGAAGAAGAATCAGTTAAAAAAAAAAAAAATCAGGTTAGAGCCTGGCCCGTCTGTCAGTGGTTGGCAAACTGCGGCTCTCGAGCCACAGTTTGCTGCTCTGTTAACTAATGAGTTTGCAGACCACTGACCTAGACTCTCGATTCCGATAGGCACAGGCTGTTGTTCCTCGTGGTTAAGCCCCCGTCCCAGGGGTCGGCAAACGCGATCGTCAGCAGAGCGAAAACCCGTGGCTCGAGAGCCAGTGGTCGGCAAACTGCGGCTCTCGAGCCACATGCGGCTCTAGGTGGTCAGAGTGTCCCCCTGGGCACAGAGGGGCGGCTGGAGGGGTCACGGCTGTCCGGGTCACCTGGCGCGGACAAGGGCACACACCTGGGTTGCAGGTTCGATCCCTGGCCCCCGCTGCAGAGCATGTGGGAGGCAATGAACGTACTAGCACGTCTCTCACAGCGATGCTCCTCCCTCCCTCTCTTTCTCTCTCTCTCTCTCTCTCTCTCTCTCTCTCTCTCTCTCTCTCTCTCTCCCCCACTCCACTCCATTTCTCCTTTCTGTTCTCTCTAAACATCAATAACAATATCCTCGGGCGAGGATACGTAAATAA